AAGATTCGGGTTGTCACAGTGTCGATGCGATATGGGTGAGTGTAGACTGGTTGACGAAGAGTGCTCACTTTCTAGCTATCAGTGAGAGCTCTGCAGTGGAGAAGATGGCCGAGATCTACGTGCGAGAGGTGGTGGTACGTCATGGGGTGCCAACATTGATAGTGTCAGACCGGGATGTGCATTTTACTTCCAGGTTCTAAAAGAATTTTCATGAGGAGTTCGGCACCCGGTTGCATTTCAGCACCGCTTACCACCCACAGACCAATGGGCTGAGCGAGCGGACGATTCAGACACTCAAGGACTTGCTACGTGCATGTGTTATGGACTTCGGAGGAAGTTGGGACACTTACTTGACCTTGGGTGAGTTTTCATACAATAACAACCATCAATCCAGTATTGGTATGCCTCCCTTTGAGCTCTTATATGGGAGGAGGTGTCAGACTCCCATCTGTTGGGGAGAGGTAGGGCAGAGGATGATGGGGAAACACTGACATAGTGCTCAAGACAACAGAGTAGATCCAACAGGTCAGACAGAGCTGGAGTTTCGGATCGGAGATTTTGTCCTCCTGAAGGTATCCCCATGGAAAGGGGTGATCCGATTTAGGAAGCGGGGTAAGCTGGGACCTAGATACATCGGTCCTTTCAGAGTGATCGCTCGAGTGGGCAAGGTAGCTTATAGGTTGGAGATGCATGCGGAGTTGAGTCAGATTCATAACACCTTACATGTGTCCCAGCTGAGGAAGTGTGTAGCAGATGAGACGGCGGTGGTCCCCTTAGAGGACATTCAGGTTGATGAGCGCTTGAACTACATTGAGAAGTCGGTAGCGATCTTAGATAGGAAGGTGAATATCTTGAGGAACAAAGATGTGCCTTTGGTTTAAGTTCAGTGGCAACATCGAAAGGGATCCAAGTGAACTTGGGACCCGGAGTCCGAGATGCGGGAGCAGTACCAAATGTTATTTCTAGAGGATGACTGCAAGAACGAAGTTTGATTCTAGTGGGGGAGAATTGTAGCATCTCGACTCACAGGTATAATATTTAATTAAATTTGCATTCGTATTTTAGAGAAACTCGACGAGTTGGATGCCCAAACTCACCGAGTTGAGGAGTTAATGACCACATGATTTTTAGAGTCTACTCGATGATTTGGAGGACCCCAACTCGACGCGTAGGTGCTGAGTGGAAAACCCTAATTTTCAGGGTTTGTGTCCTATTTAAAGGACCTTAAGCCTCCATTTCCGCCTCCCTTATCACCCTAACACTCTGTGAGAAACTCTGATCAAGCTATATCCTTGTGTGAGAGGAAGAGAGGCTAACACTCCATACTTTGGTGCACTTTTCGAAGAAGGTTGAGGAGCAAAAGGCTTGGGACTAGAGGAAGCTTCTGGATCCGGTGTTCATTCATCCCTACCTGCTATTTGAAGGTAAAAAGTCACCACCTTGCTCATTGTTTGGATAGATCCCTTTTCTAGGGAGTTTAGGGCCTTTTTCCATCCTTCTTTGAGTTCTAGAGTTATTTGAGCTTTCCATGGAGTTGAGACTCCAGATATGGAGAATAGGAGGTCCCTTTAGCCCAAAGGTCTAAGGTTTATCAAGCTAATGGAAAGCCTTTATGCATTAGACCCCATATAGAGCATGTTTTGGAATTTCGAGCCCTAGATGTCGTGCATGGACGTAATGCTTGCTGCTTTACGTGGTATTTCAGCCTTGGGAGGCTAGATCTGGAGTTTGGGACATTATTTCTGCTTAGAATCGGCGAAATGAGAATTAGTCTAGAGGGACTCGACAAGTGCATGAGCCAACTCGACGAGTCAGCAAAGGGTTTCCCCGATAGTCTAAACGCGCTACAACTCGACGAGTTGGTGAGAAAACTCGACAAGTTGGGTTGGAGTATTACTGATTTTCTGAGGACAGGGTGAGCTCGACAAGTCACACAGGTGCACTCGCTGAGTTCGGTCAACATGGACTGATGCCTCAAGTGTTGACTTCCGTTGACTTTTACGGTTTGGTCAATTGTCGACTTTGGAGACCATGGAGGGGTAAAATGGTCTTTTCACCCTTTTTGAGATCTAGTAGAGGAGTTAGCTTAGCATCTCAAGTGGTTATTACAAATTTCTTGTTAGAGATAATTATGTTGTGTAGGCCGAGTCTAGACTGTTTGTGGGGGTACTAGATCTACTTGCTTACTTATGAGGTGAATCTTCTCACTATACTTACCTGAGTGGTAATGTTGTGTGACCGGAGGGTCTTATCTGATTTATCGACCGGAGGGTCCTATATGCTTATATAGAGTTATGTGATATTATGCATCTTGTCTTTATGATATATGTTATACTATTTTGTGCATTACTGAGATAGGACCGGAGGGTCCAAACCGAGTTGTGAGACCGGAGGGTGTTCACTGAGATACAGGAATGGAGGGTTCGACCCGAGCTGTGAGACTGGAGGGTCTTCACTGAGGCACATGACCGCAGGGTCCACATTGAGTCGTGAGACCGGAGGGTCCTCACCGAGACGTATGACCGGAGGATCCATGTCGAGCTATAGCCATGAGAGGCTTATTATTTGTGTATGTGGTATTTTGGGAAACTCACTAAGCTTTGTGCTTACAGTGTTGTGTGAGATGTATTTCAGGTACTTCTCAGGATCATGGGAAGGCGCCGGCTTGATTGTACACACTTGTTGCAGATTATGTTGTGGATTCTAGGATATTATCAGTTGTTTTGTTGACTCGTGTTTTGACATTGATACATCGTGGTTTTGAGAACATTTGACATTGAGTTTTTATGTCATTTAAAAATGAAAAATTTGTTTGAAATAGTTACGGTGTTACAATATGCATCTCTATTTCTATGCATCTCTCTATCTATGCATCTCTCTATCTATCTATGTCAGTCATATGTTGTCCCCTCTGCGTGATTGGAAGAGATCCGACCTGGGATACAACATATGGACCTTTCTATATCTCTATCCCTCTATCTACGTTAGTCATATGTTGTCCTTCTGCGTGATTGGCAGATATCCGACCTAGGATACAACATATGCATCTCTATATCTATCTTCTCTCTCAAATAATTGAACACTCAGATAAAGTAAAGAGCTCTTTGGAATTCCTTGATTGCTAGAGTATGTCGTAAAGTGGGGAACACATTCTAGTGCGCTTAAAATTGAATTTGTTCATGACTAAAGGTTGACTGTAGATCTCGCTGCTGAATTTAAGTGGACAACAATATCATTTGTCGTCGTCAGCAAAATGGTCTATTTAGGAATATAATCACAATGTCTTGTCACTTATAATCTGTCCAACTTGCAAATATCCTTTGGGGTTAAGTGGACCATAATATTGGTGATTGACCGGAGTTATCCATGTAGGTGTATGCTAATAAACGAGATTAAATTGCTTGATAACTTTTGGTCCCAAAAGTTTTAAATTTAGTTATTAAAATGTGTTTGTTTTATTTTATTTTATTTTTATTTTTATTTTCCATTTAATTTGCATTCATTTTAACTTTTAAATTTTAATTTAATTTATTTTTTTTAATCTAAGAAATGAATTGTCGAAATCGATTTTAAATGTTTTGTTAAATGAGTTTTTTCTTTTGGGGCCCACCGAATTCAGTGCCCAAGGCCCGAGAACCCATTTTAGGGTTTAATAGGGGGGTTTTGTTTCAATTTCATTTCGATCGCCGAAATCACCTTCCTTCTCTCCAAACCTAAGCGAAAACCCTTTTTGCTCACTCTTCATCTGTTCATCTTCATTCTCGAGTCAAATCATCAATTTTTCTTTGATTCTTTGCAATTTTGACTAGGTATGTGGATTTCGAGTAACATGCTTCAGTTTTTATGTCCTTTCTTGGAGTTTTTGCAGGTGTTGAAAGGGTTTCCGACGAGCTTAACAATGGTTTTCCGGCGAAATTATTTAGGGTTTCAAAATTTCGTAACGTCGGGTTTTCAGGTTGACCCGGGTCCGACCGAAATCGATCGAATTTGACCGGATCCGACAAAAAACAGCTTGATCTGACCGAAAACATCCCTCTTTGACCGAAATCTCTAGTTTGACCGAAATCACTATGTTTTGACCGAAATTACTTACTTTTGACCGAAATCAACTTTTTTGACCAAACTTTGAATTTTTGAGAAAATAAAATTTTAATTTTAATTTTTATTGTTCTCACTTGGCTCGTTTAGTGCAGACAAATGGTGGATCGGTTGAAGTTTGTTGATTTTCACAATATCGCTGGATATCTCGTTGATCCACCTGCCGCGCACAATGAATTCAAATCTATGATCGTGGGTTTGAACAATTGTAGAGTTTCCCATGCTCTACGTATCAATCCAGTCATATACAAGGACTTGATTAATGATTTATGTAGGAATGCATCATTCAACCGTGCAGGAGTAGATGGTGCTGGGGCTATTGAATCCTCTATGAAAGGCAACCAGATTATTATTACAGAGCAAGTCATTCGGGAAGTGCTTCAGTTCGGAGATCAACCTGCTTTCCCAACAGAACTCCTTGCTCCCAAGATTTCAGAACTATTAAAGAAAAGAATTACGAAGGAATTTTTCCTCCAACAGTCAAGAAGATACTTCCCCCAACAGAACCCCCATACTTTTGTTAGCTGCATCTCTAGAAGAAAGGGCGGGTCGGACGAGATAAGCCAAACAGCAACATCAGCCTTTGTAGCACTAACAATGGACTGGGAGTATAATTTCTCAAAATTTGTTTTTGACGAAATGAGGAGCAACCTTTTTGTGAAAAAGAAGGATTTTTTCTTGATGTATCCTCGGTTTTTACAAATGATCTTTGATGCCATGCATCCCGAGCTGGAAAGGACCCCAATACTCTTGATGTCAAATCCCTGGGTCCAAACACCTTTGGACTCATGAAACAAGTATAGAAAGCGTCAAAGGTTGTTTTCAAGGGAACAGAAGCACTGGCGAAATTTGGAAAATTTGTAGAGACAGAAGATGTTCAAACTGTTGGTACTCCAATTGCTATGGTGGCCGAGGAACATGTCGCGTCATCAAAATCAAATCTTAGTTTTTCATTTGAGGTTTCTGATGATGATGGTGATGATGATGATGAGGATGTTCTTGTGTTTGAACCATCGAAGGATCCAGTCAATGAGCTTGTGATTTCTCCAGCCGAGACAGAGAAAGAAATCAACGTTTTCAAGAAACCAAACGATCCAATGCACGAACAGATGGAAGCCATTATCGAAAAATAACAGTCAACTGTGAGGAAGCCTCCCCAAGGAGTTCCTGTTACTACTGAGTCTCCATCTGGGAGTGATAAAGACGATTCAAATTCCTTCATGATGCCAAGAAAGCAAAGACGTAGAGATCCAAGTTCGGGAGTGCTTATTACTGAACCAGTACAACAACCAACTTCAAATGTTGAACCAGCCCAGGTTAATCAATATGATCAAAGCCCAATTTTTGACAAAGACTTCTTAGCTAATGAGGAAACTTTTTCCTCGGGAAGCTCTTCTGCCCCACCACCTCTAGAGCACGATTATGCATCTGTCAATTTAGCCAAGCTACTTGCTTTTCAAGAGTCTATTCCTCATTCAAGAGGAAAGGGAATATCTATTGGCTCAGGGGAAGGAGGTGATGAAGACTCTCAACAAACCATTTTTGAGCTCAAACAAGATATCATAATTTTGAAGCAGAAGTCCATTGAGAAGGACTTGCTGATTGGAAAGTTGGATGTGAGAGTTTATGAGCTTGAAAAGGAAATTCTTAAAAGAGTAAGCAAATCTCAGATCTTCAAGCCAATCTTGGTGGGCTGACAGGTCTCTGTTTTGATCTCAAAGACAAATTAATTGGAAAATTTGGTGATGAGTTCAAGACTTCAGGTTCTGATGATGGAAAAGCTTCAGAGACATATGAAAGAGTCGTCGCCTGTCCTGCCCCAGATTCTAACCTTGATCAATTTCTGTCTTCTGGCCCTGTCACAACTAAAGAAAGAAGGGAGAAGCAGAGAAAAGTTGATAAGCAGAAGAAAGACAAAATGCTTCTGATGAAAAACTCTGATCAGAATGCACCTGGTGATCACCCAAAGATGTTTATTAAAGAAATTAGAAAGAGGAAATTTGCTTACAGATATGGTGATCGTTCTGGAATTCTTATGTGGGGATATGAAGCTGATAAGAAGATGTGGATTGTAAAGTGAAAGAGCGGAAACATTGAGTACTATGCGAAGAAGATTGACTTTATGTCTTGGAAAAAAGTTGATCTTACAGAGCTGGTCCACGCACCGTTCCACAATCCAACAAATGAACCCACAGCCTGGGCGTTTAAGAAGTTCCTAGAAGACAAAGCGAATCAAAACTTTGAAGGCTTGAAAACAACGTCATCGTTCATTAAAAAGGTCAAGGGTGTTATTGATCCACGCACCAACAAGACTATGGTGAATGTTATGTGGTACACCAAGAACTTCTTAACAGCCAGATACAATAATGATAAACAAATAGAACCCCTAAATGGTTGAAAAGCTATTTATACAATCCTAGTACAAAGCCTTAACAGGCCCAAGCCCAAACTGACTGAAATCACATAGTGATTTCGGTCTCCATAACCGAAAACACCATAAGCCCACTAACAATAAACATTCCTAAGCCCAAGTATAATAATAAAATAGAAACCCAGCATAAACCATTTAAATATGACCCAACAGGTGTATCATTATGCTAAACACTTTTTGCAACATTCAATATTGCTTGGCGAAATATTTGGCTGAAGGGGGAGTGAAGGAACGAAAAGCTTCAAGGATATGTGGTGGGATGTTTGTGACAAGATTAGCGAGATCATACAGTGTATTTGGCGGGGGGTCCGGGAACCACTTGACTATGCTACAACAACCCGCTTTTAGTCCTCTTCTTTACAGGAGGGCTAGAATTATTGAAGACTTTGGTGGGGGACAATTTACCATACCTGATGAGGACAAAGTGGTCGCACCCGAGCAACCGGGTAGAAGGGTAAGACCAAGACAAGGGCATGTTCACGAAGAACCGCCCGTGATCCCGATTGATGATGAGCTACCAATAGATCCGTATAATGTGGAATTGAGGGCGTATCAAGACGAAATCGGCCGTAGTTTGAATTACAATCACATGACCCTTACCCACATGATGCACTACATGAACATTCCCCGGATGGATGATACTTCCGACTACCCTCATGTTAGAAATTGGGAAGAAAGATGGATCACAAGGCAAAGTGGAACCGGAGGTAACAGATATGGAGGAGGAGGCTAGGAGGAAGATGAAGATTGATTATCCTTCAAATTTTCATTTGTGTTGGCTTGTTTAAACAATTTTTATTTGTTTGGTGTGTTTCTTATATTTTTTTTTGTTTTGGTGATGTTTAAACTCTTAGTTAATTAGGAAGTAAGTTAGGATTTTTAATTTTTTTTCCTTTTTATTACTTGGTGTTTATTTTTGATCTTTTTCAGAATTTAGGGTGAGGGATTGAATGCATGAATAAAGCGTGAGGAATAAACGTGATAAGTCGAGTCTAAAAGAGAAGATTAGGAGAATTGAGTCCGACTATGGGTCCGGTATTTATAAAGCTTGAAAAGGAGTTATTTTACTGAAGAAAAACGAGGAGGAGTGTTGCCTTAGTACCCTCCTCAACCTCAGAACGAAGCGGAGGCAGAAAGAAGTTTTTATCCAAACAGAACTGAAAACTCGACAAGTTCCAATCTGCTACTCGACGAGTCCAAGTGTAAAAACGCGACTTTCTGCCAGTATAGCGATAACTCAGCGAGTCTCTACCTGAACTCGAGGAGTTGCTCATTTTCTTATTTTCGAGTCGATGATTTGATTCTATTTGACGCGGACATTGATTATATTCTTTGAAGACTATTTTTCGAGCATTACCAAGAGCTTTTTCCTCTATATTTGGAGCTGTAGCACAATAGATTTTGACACCCAAGGCGTGGATGAGTTGTTCCCATGCCTAAAGTCAACTGAAGATGGAGCTTTACAATAAAAAAGATCAACCTTGCAACTTCTATCCCAGGGGAGTTTGTTCTAATTCTCTCTGTTTACTTTTATGTTCTTTTTCATGCAATACATGCAATGGGGACATTGCATGAATTAAGTGTGGGGTAGGGGGTTAGTTACATTTTACATTAGTTAAATTAGAATCGTAGGTATAATTTATTTAAAAAAAAAATTGCATTAAAATTGCTAGGGTAAATTTAGAAAATTTTGGTAAAGCAATTAGGATTCCATGCTAGTATTGTGTTTGGTAATTTTATGAGGACCCAAATGTTTAGTTGAGCCAATATACGTTATAGTGCATTTGTGGCCCTCTTTATTCTAGTGAAATCATGGGAAAAAAACACAACCTCACTTAGTTTGAGGGACGCAACATGTTTAGCAACGTGTAGTTGAAATGTATCCAGGAAAGCTTAAGTAGTCATTGCACATGAGACTAATACCTTTAACCAATAAAGGATGAAGTTAAATCCCCTTGTGTAAACATATGTTTTTCTAGGTTTTTAGTTTTAGTGAAAAAAAGTGAGTTAGAAAAAAAAAGTTGAAAAAGAAACAAAAGAGTGATGCAATGTTAGAATAAAGAATCTACAAAGCTATGAAGACAAAGAAGAAATATCAAGAAGAAAACCTGCAAATTATTGAAGATTCAAAGTATCAAGTATTTTTATTTTCATTGTAATTTTCATATCTTGGTTATTGTTTTCGTATGTGTGCTTGGGGGTTTAACCAAAAATGACTTGAGGAAAATAAAGTGTTATGCCGATGGATTCGGAGGGATGCATAAAATGAGCATTGTTCAAAAGAAGTGGGAGAGTGTTTATGAGGATTGTAAGTATTTAGGATAAGGGGGGGTCCTTAGCAAAAATTTTAGACACAAATGCATGCGTTGCGGTCTTGGCATAATGGTTGGGTTTGAATGGGATTCTCTTATGTGATGCTAGGGTGCTAAAATTTTCAGTTTTGCTTGGGGGTAAGCAAAAGTCAAGTGTGGGGTATTTTGATATCTGCATATTTAACCATATATTTTATATAATATCTTAATACTTTTTTGCTGTTTTTATCTCAATTTATGAACAAAAGGTACTTAATTATGTTAAAATTACATTTCCAGCCTTAAAGACATGATCGAGTGAAAAAGGAAGCAGAACTAGCAATTGGGAGCATGGAAATTGAAGTCTGAAGAAATAAGGCTTAAAAGAAGAAAAACTCAGCGAGTTGGCCATCAACTCGATGAGTAGGGTGGAAGATTCGCGATTCAACAATGCCTTGTCATACACGCGTGTTAAGTGAAAAACTCGTCGATTTGGGTCTGAAAACTCGACGAGTTGGTGTGCAATTTGGGAATCTCTATATAAATCATTTATTCCCGAAACCCTAACACATGTTGGAGACTTTTGGCGACTAATTGACGATCAGAAGGGTTCTTGGAGCTCTAGTTTTTGAGAATTCAACCTAGAAGACAATTTAGAAGAGATCAAAGGAAACACACATTACTCTTTTATTAATCATTTGCATAAACCATGTTTCAATCATTAGATTTCGATTTTAGGATGTTATTTGTTGTAGATATGAGCTAAAAGCTTTTTACTTCTCTTTAGAGTAGATAAACTTATGAATATGGTTTGATTGAATAGCTTGGATTAATTTGATTTGGTGAATTGTCTTGTTAAGCTTGTTAAAAACCCTTATGTGTTAATGATAATTATTTTCTGTTAATAATCAAGTTATTAAGTTGCATGAACATCTTCTTAATTGCTTGAGTCATATAGTTTTGTGAAAATTATATTGTATGTGTAGTATTAGTGAATATGAACCTAGGGTTAACTAGAAAATAAATAAGTTAATGTGTGAGCATGTGTGATGAACAACCACACATGAGTTTATTGAATTGACAAATTTAGTTTACCAATATTAAAAGTCTTACTTGATCTGAATTGAACACTAGGAAACTTGTTAGTTTAATCATTTGGCCACTGTTTGAATTAACTTGTTTGCTAAAGGATTAGTAATAGTGAATCGAATTGCACTTGACATGAAATCAACCATAGGATTAGTAATAGTGAATTGAACACTAGGAAACTTGTTTGCTAAAGGTAGCCATCGATATATTAATCAATTGCACTTGACATGAAATCAACCATAGGAATAAGTGAATCGAATTTGAATAGAACACTACAAGAAAAACGTGATTTTGCTACGGAAGGAATCCGTTGCGAAAAGCTGAAATTCCATTGCAAAAGATGAATAGCGACGAAATTTGCAATGAACTATTTCCGTCCCTAAAAACGTCGTAGTGAGGGGTTTGCAACGGAAACGATAATTTCATCGCAATTGTGACAACGGAATGAAATCTGTGGTAGATGGTATTCCGCCGTGTATTCCGTAGTCGTTTCCATCACAAATTCCGTGGTAGTTCTTCCGTCACAAATTCTGTTGTAGTTAATCCCTATCAAAATCCGTGGTGATGAATCCCTAGCAAAATCCGTGGTGATGAATCCCTAGCTAAATCCGTGGTGATGAATCCTTAGCAAAATTCGTTGTGATGAATCCATAGCTAAATAGGTTGTGATGAATCTCTAGCAAAATCCGTAGTGTTAAATCTCTAGCTAAACCCATTGTAATGAATACCTAACAAAATCCATGGTTTATATTCCATAGCAGATTCCATAGAAAATAACGTCAATATATTTTCGTTGCAAAGCTGGATAGCTACGAATGGATAATTAATTTACAAATTAAATCCTAATTATTTTGTAATAATATATATAAACAAAAACAAAAAAAAT